CCTTTTTTTTTTTTTTTAGAAACCAAGACTTTAAATTCCTCTTAAGTATGTTATGAGTCCTACACAGACTGTGGTGAAAAAGAAAAAAGTGAGAAATGTGGACAGTATCAAATATCTTCCTTGGTTTGGATAACACCATGAAGGACAAGATAAGAAGGAGCCAGGGATGGAATTAGGAGAGGTGAATATAATAAGTCAGCCTCACAGAGCCCCACCACTTCCCCCAGTTACCCAACCAAGCCATGGATTGAGGAAGGGTGTCTCATTTCCTCTCAATTGTAAACAATTTTCAGAATAGGAAAAAAGAATTATGATTCTAAGGCATTACAATGTTGGGAAACCATTTCATAAAAGAAGTGAAATCCTCTCAAGATGAGGAGCAACATTTATTCTTACCGAGCACACCAGCACTCAAGGATCTTTCAAAGCACAGGAGCAACCAATTCCTTGAAGGCCATGCCCAAAGAAGTCAGCAGATCTTACCAAAGTAGGCTGGAGAATTAGACTGCCTTTTCATGCAGTAGGAGGCAGCTGAGCAAAAGCAGGGGGAAAAAAGTGAGCTTAAAGACGTTTACACAAACAAACAAAAAAATACACTTGGACTCCAAAGCTAATGAATAAAAAGGACTCTTGTGAAAAAAAGACTAATTTGTCCCCCATCTAGGGGATCCTAACATACTGGCAACCTATGCGTTGAAAAAGCACAACCAGGGAGAGGTAATCAAAATGCAATTTTCCTCTAAAATTATGGACATGGACAATCACCAATGGTTGCCAAAAGTGATAAAAAGCTGATAAACAACTTTATACCAGATGAGCCAGACTTTCCTAAATACTGATCAATATTAACATTGTAGAGAGAGAGACAGACATTTTGGGACTATAGGAGTGCTCACATCACCTATGACGTAGTCTTGCCAAATAAATGAACCTGAATCTGATCAAGCTTCTGGATCTTTCTTACAATTGAAAGGAAATACAGATGTTGGATATGCTTCAAAGTAATGTGAAATGTATGGAGATGGTGAAAGGAAAGCCGATAAGCAGTAGCTGCAACTAGATTGGACCTGAGTTAACAATTGCTTCACAGTGTATATTTGGGAGTTCTTTATACTCTTTTCTTTAGACTGTACTTTTGAAATTTTCTGTTATAAAAAATTTCTAAAACTAAAATTTTTTGTTTGTTTTGTTGTTGTTTTTAAAATATATCTTTATTGATTTCAGAGAGAGGAAGGGAAAGGGAAAGAGAGAGTTGAAACTCCAATGATGAGAGAGTCATTGATCGGCTGCCTCCTGCGCGCCTCCTACTGGGGATGGAGCCCGCAACCTGGGCATGTGCTCTGATCAGGACCCGAACCACGATCTCCTGGATCCTAGGTCGATGCTCAACCACTGAGCCACTATTGGCCAGGCAAAATGCAGTTTGTTTTTGCTTCACAATTCCATTCAGATTTTTTACTGGGAGGTGAGGGGGAGGGTTCTCTTGCTCCTGAATGAAATTTCAGCGCCCTAACTTCTCAGCTTACTCATGGTTTAAAAAAGAAAAAAATCCTCTGGTCAAGCACAGCCTCAATTTAAAAAAATGAGAATGTCCAGTCACATTTTTCTCTGGGTCCACTTCCCATCTTGTCCCAGGTTTCAATCTACTCTACACAGACTGTCTCTGTTGGAATCCTCATGCCTTACCAGGTGATTCTGTTGAATTCAAGCTAAACCAGCTTAGACAGCTGCTCTCTCTCCCATGACCTACCTTGGGTGCATGGGAAACACTCATGGATGTTATTTCTACCATTGGTAGGGAGTCAAATTAATTTCCAGTCTTGGGAACAATATGTCCCATAAAGTCAGGAAGACACAGGTCAGGCACTCCATAGAGACCCCTTGAAGTCCCCTCCCATGCCCCCAACCCCTGCTCTCTAGGCTGGAGATGAGACTCTCAAGGTGCCTAGGAGAACTTTTGCCAAAAGAACCTCTTCATAAATGCCTCTCTTCCTGAATGCCAGCAGCAGGCAAACTATAGCCGGTAGGCCAAATCCAGCCTATCTTTTAAATAAAATTTTACTGGCACACAGCCATACTCATTTGTTTAAATATTGGCTATGGCTGCTTTTGCATTGCAACAACAGAGTTGAGTAGTAGCAACAGAAACCATACAGCCCACGACCCTAAAATATTTACTGTCTGGGTCTTTGGGGAAAAAGTTTGCCAACACCTGCTCTATGCTATCAACTCTTATGTCTTTTTCATAGGTCAGCTGTCCAACTGGTTCTTAGACATTTATTTTGAAAATATGCATTTTAGTATATGACCTAATTTAATATCTGATTTTTATCATTTTAGGGACAAAGTTAAAACTTAATGTTTTAACAAAAAATTTATTTTCCACATTATAATAATACAGGTCTAACTTTTCCAAGAAACAGCAGAGTAATAAGTATAAGTGGGTTTTCCTCTTGCTAATAAAAATACAGCTGAATTATGCTGGATAAATTTGTCAAGCTCATTGATCTATCAAAATTCTTTTTACCCATTTAGCTTTATATTTTCCTTAGGTCCATGGAATTTAGTCTTGAAAAATAGAAATTTGGAAAGTGAGATTTAAATATTAATAATCTACTATTCCATAAGCCAGCAGTTCTCAACTGAGCAAAACCCCTCAAGAGATCTTTTCAAGTTGTATATTCTATCTCCCATTTCAGAGAGAGCCTGGAGTGAGACGGCATCAGAATTTTTTTAAACTGTCCCATGAAAATCATTGCTGAGGTCATTATAACAAAGCAGTTTCCCAACTCAGTGTTCAAAAGAAAATGTTTATTAACACTCCCAGAACAAACAGTGTCCTGAACAAATGAGCTTTGGAAACTATAAAATTCTGCTTCTAGCTATTTGGAATGTGGATTAGCAAAAAGCTCTCAGAAAGTAATACTAACGGGAAGATCATTTATTAAACAGACTAACTTATCTCTCTTAAAAAGTATTTTCTCACTAATATTGTATTATTTTTATATCCCTTGCTCTTCCAGTGGTATCCCTGCTGCACAATTTGAAACATACTAGAAAAGAGTTCATGTGCACTGAAATATTTATAATTTTTTTCACCTTATCAGCAGAAAACACAGCTCTAGTTAAAATATGTATGTTATTATTCTGTGTTCTTTTTGTATATTTTAAACTTACATATGTGTGTATACCATCACTATAATATTATAGCCAAGTTTCCAATTCTAAGGCAGCCTTTATAGCCTGATGATCGTACATCTCCACTGAAAACCTTCCACATAGGTAAAAAGTGCATTTTCTTTCATTAGTATAAGTGTTCAGTTTTAAATCCAGAAATCTACCCTTTAATAAGATGCTATCATAATCTCTTCCTAGCTGCAGGAAATAGAGTTTAAGCCTATATTTTAGTGCTTCACTTAAGATGATGATTTACAAGTATAAGTCCTGGCACAAAGCAAATGGCACATTAAGAAGGAGCCATTTGATGAGAGTTTAATAAAAGAATTACTTAGAAAAGTGTAGGTAGGGTTTATACCAGGGATACAAGGCTGATTAAATACTCAAAAATTAATCAGCTACCATATTAACAGGCTAAAGTAGAAAATTCATATGATTATATCAAATGATAGGAAGAAAGCATGGGACAATATTGAACATTCATTTGTGATAAAATATCATAGAACAGTAGGAACAGAGGAGGACTTCCTCAACTTAATAAAGAGCATCTATAAAATAAACCCACAGTTAACGTACTTAATGGTAAAAGACTGAATGCTTTTCCTTTAAAATTGAGAACAAGGTAAAGATGCTTGGTCTTACCACTCTTATTCAACATTGTACTGGAAGTTCAAGGCAAGAAAAGGAAAGAACAACAAACAGAAAAGAAGAAATAAAACTTTTCACTTCAAAATGACATAATTTTCTACGCACAAAATCCAATGGAATCTACAAAAAAAAAAAAAAAAAAAAAAAATCCACCTAGAACTACCAAGTGAGTTCAGCAAGATCGCAGGATACAAAATAACCATACAAAAGTCAATTTTCTTTCTACATATGAGCAATGAACACATGGACACTAAAATATCAATACCATTTGTAATCACTCAAAAGACAAAATATTTAAATGTAAGTCTAATAAAACATGTTTATAACTCTTATCTAAGTAAGTGGAGACACGTATCATGTCCATGAATTAGAAGGCTCAGCACAATAAAGTATCTATTCTGCTCAACTTGATACATAGCCTTAATGCAATTTCTATCAAAAATACAGCAAGATTCTTCATGGATATAGACAAGATTATCATAAAATTTATTTGGAAAGACAAAGGAAGTAGAATAGCTAAAACAATTTTTAAAAAGAAGAATAAAGTTGAGGAATCAACACATGATTTCAATGTTCTCCATTTGTATAATTTTGTCATTTCAAGAATGTTACATTAATGGGGAACAGATTATTGGTTGCCAAGAGTTAAGTTCCAGTGTGGGAAAGTAGGGAGAAAGATGGGTATAGTTATTAAAGGGCAACAGAAGTGACTCTTTTTGTTTTTTTCTTTTTTCTTTTTAAAATTTATCTTTATTGTTGAAAATATTACAGATGTCCCCTTTTTCCCCCATTAACCCCTTCCACCCCCACCCACTCCACGCCCCAAGCCTTCACCACATTATTGTCTGTGTCTATGGGTTATGCGTATATGCATATAAATTCATTGGTTAATCGCTCCAAAACCACCCACGCACCCACCCCTATCTTTCTTCTGAGATTGGTCAGTCTGTTCCATGCTTCTACATCACTGAATTTATATTGTTCAGCAGTTTATTATGTTCTTTAGAGTCCA